TTACGTGCAAAAAACACTTCTAAAGTTTCAATTTAGTGCAAATAGATCCCTCTGAAAAATTTAAATCTTAAGTTGACTAAATTACCCTTACTAAACCATTTTATAAAATATATAAAAATACATAATTTTGTAAAATGACCGAAAATAACATTATTGGAGGACGTCCCTCACGTACAAAAAACACCCATAAAGTTTAATTTGGTTCAAATAAGCTCCTCTGACAAGCCCTAAGTTGACTAAGTGACCCTTATTGAACAATTTTATAAAATGACTGAAAATGACATCATTGGAGGATGCCGGCAATTGACAAGTACCGATAAAAATTAAAATTAAAATTAAAGAAAAGTAAAGATAAAAATAAAAAATAAAAAACAAAAATAAAGTGAAAACTAAAGAAAATAAATCTGCTTTAAACTCCGAAAACCAAGTGTACACTAATATTGGAATTTATTTACTTATTTAACTTTTTTTTTTTGTTTAACAGTGTTTGGTAAGAAAAAAATAAAATAAAATAAAGAAATTTTTTTTTTTAGTAGAAAACAGTTAATTGAAATCTCAACAAATTCAAATCCTTGTTTTATAAATCCTCAAAGTTTTTTTTTTTTTCTTTTTTTTTTTTTTTTTAATAGACCTACGTCACTAACTATATGTCAATCTCACTTATCAATAATAATTTTTTTTTAACTGCATTTAAAAAAAAATATGAAAAGTCAGTTTGATAAAAATGAGATTTAAATAAATTTGTATCTTATTTATTATTTTTTCTAATGATATATATATATAATCAAATGTATTAAATGATCAAATTATATGTTTTTCTTTTGATATAAATTTTAAGGATTTAACTCATCAACATTTCAAGGTCATATTTTTTTTTCTTTAATTTATTTTGACGATGATGGTGTCGTGTCTCTTAGAATCCTTAGTTCACTATCAAACACCATATCATATGCCTCTTTTAGGTATGGCCCCTAAGATATATATATATTTTGAAATTTTAAGCAACTGAATATATAAAAAAGATAATTACAAGAACGGCCCTAAGATATTCGAACCAAATACTCCTCCATACATTTACTAGTTTTTAAAAGTTTCAATCGAGGGAGCTGAAAAAATGTAGATACCTCACCCCAAAAAAAAAAGGAAAAAAATAAAATAAAAATAATGTCTATCTAGATGATATTGACTGAACGTAAACTTTGTAGAGATTTTAGAAATTGTAATACGTGGTTACTAGCTTTCGACTCTAACGAGGATTATATTGTAACTGTCAAATTCTTGTTCGATCGCTGAAAACAAGTATGGAGGCGTTTAATTGGGAACATAAATTCAAGCACTTGGGTTCTGACTCTTTGATACAAAATTCAAACTCTCAAATTGGACCGATGACGATGAGATCAACTTTATTCCTCCACGAACGTTTGTGAAATGGCAAAATGGTACAAGCAACGTACCTGCAGATGCAGAAAGAACTCATTACATCAATATTGACTGTCTCATTATTAGGTTTAAGCTGTTTAACAAACACACACGTACTGTGTGTGATTAAGAAAGACCACAGTAAATTGACCACAAAAGGGTCTTCAATTCATTCAAGCAAGAATACAGCAAATTTGGACACGTTTGTTTTAACCTTGAGTGTCAAAGTATTTAGTGGAAATATGACATTGAATTGGTTTTGTAAAGTCTTTGGGTTAGGAAAAAGAGGAAGGATGGAAGTTCCCTGTACATCGCTGCAGGTTGTTACCGGAATTGCTATGTACATCCACTGCTAACGGATTCGAATTTGTTATCAATGGCTGTTCTTGGGTCTTTTCTTGTTCGCGGAGCTTGTTGTTCTATATATGTCTCTAGATGTTGGGCTAGTTGGACTCTAACTTGTGGGCTACTTGCCTTATGGATCATGCTGTAAATTCTTTATATATTAATACATTTGCTTTACCATTCAAAAAAAAAAAAAAAAAAAAAAAAAGCATTGAGTACGTGTGAAATTTTGATTACTTTCAAAAAAAAAAAAAACGTTCCGTACATATAATTAACTCTAAAATTAAAAAGAAAAAATGATTGGCAGTATGGAACCTGATAAATACTTTACACGAAAGTTCAATTTTGTATGCCGTCAATGTGAAGGTATTATTTATTTATTCTAAACTCTCTATATAGGTGGTCTTTTGATCGAAATCCCCGCAACTCTTGAGCGTGGCCTAATTTTGGATGAATTAACTAAAAATATTTATGTTCTTGTTGTCTGTAATATTTAATTGGGTCAAGTGCATAAAATACTTCTAAAATATGCTTACAGCGCAAAAAACACTAATAAAGTTTTAATTTGGTACAAATAAGTTCCTCTGAAAAATTTAAATCTTAAGTTGACTAAACTACCCTTACTACACTATTTTATAAAATATATAAAAATACATAATTTTGTAAAATGACCAAAAAGAACATTATTGGAGGACGTCCCTTACATGCAAAAAACACTCCTAAAATTTCAATTTGGTGCAAATAAACCCATCTGACAAATTTAAATCCTTAGTTGACTAAATTAACCTTGTTGAACTATTTTATAAAAAAAATTTAATTTATAAAATGACTAAAAAAGACATTATTGGAGGACACCGACTATAGACAAGTAAAGATAAAAATAGAAAAAAAAAAAGATAAAAAGGTAAAGATAAAAATAAAAAATAAAAAACGAAAATAAAGTGCAAACTAAATAAAACAAATATGCTCCAAACTCCGAAAATCAGTATACACTGATAGTGGAATTATTATTATTTTTTAACAGTGTTGGTACGAAATAAAATAAAATAAAGAAAAAAAGAAAAGTAAATAGTAAAATGAAATCTCAATAAATTTAAATTCTTGTTCTACAAATTCTTGATATTTTTTTTAAAAAAAAAAAGTTTAGAGATATGCATAGAGCAAAAAGTTTCAAAAAAAAAAAAAAAAAAAAGTAATGTGCACATAACATTCATATATTATGAGATTAGTGGCATATATACTCTCTTGGGCATTTACGGAAGAGTAAAAGGCAAAATGAATATTACATTACTAATTTATGTCAAGAATGGTATTTTTGGACAATGTGAAAAGATTAGGGATGTTTTTTGTACACTTTTTAAAATAGGGATAAAAATACTATAAAGAATATACTTTAAGAGTATTTTTTGCACTTCTTTCGAAACAAGAAGACCTGGCAACCAAAAATTAAAAAAAAAATTCTTTCACTCCATCAAAACAATAATTGATTGATAAGTTTATTTGTTTTCTAAATAATAATTTCTTCCTATATAAAATGTCAATGTAACCAGATCATGCCAAAAGGGCCAAAATAACATTAACTTTTATGTTAAATTTGCTAATTAAGTGAAAACGTTTTAAAAACAGGGATTTGATATTTCATGGTTTGCTGATATATTTATTTATTTATTATTATTTTTTGTCTTTAATTTCATAAATAAGAGTTTATCCATAGAAGAAGACAAATAAATGAAATTTGTTTTTTTTTATATATGTTGTCATTATTTTTGCGACATTTTGTTCACCTTAGCTGTCTCAAGCAGTTAAGTCTTCGACCACGCCAAAAAGGTGAGCGTTACTCAATTTTTGCATGTAACAACCAGTCTCACCAATTTTCCATGCTAACGTTTTCTCACGACAGGACATGAGACCTAATCAGGATATAATCAGTCCTTTTGACCAAACATAACATTTTTTATATTTTATTTTTAATAGCATGTTTTAATTTATCTGAATTCATTTTCGATCTAAAATGGTTCAAAAATCAATACTAACGGGTTCAGCTCATGATATACGCCTTCTTTGGCAAAATTTAATCATTTTGGTCTTCGTTTTTACATTTTTGATATTCATTAATAACATATCCTTTCTGTCTTAAAATAAATGTATTATTTGAAAAGTCAATATACTATTTTTTATAATATTATTAATTTAACTTTCATGTAATAGGAAAAGACTTGTCTACTCACGGATGAGTTGGTCATTGTTACTGAGATGTTGTCCAATCACAAATGCACAAATAATTCGGAATTACAAAATCAAGAAAGTTATAAATAAATATAATAACCTTTTTTTTTTTAGGGGAATATATTCAGTCACTCTCTCTAATTTTCTTATTCATCACTTTCCAAATTTTGTAATTACAAATTGTTTGTGCATTTGTGATTGGACCACATCAACAGGCAGTAGGAATGATTAGTAAATTTGATAATTAATTCACTACTAATATAATAAAAATAATAATAAAAATCAGTATCTTAAATAATTAGACTCCGAAAAAGAAAAAAATAGAATTAAAATGGGACAGAGAGAGTTTGAGAGTTCATTTTTCTCTCAATTTTGTAGCAGCTTAAAGTTGTTGATTTGTGAACTTTTGCTGTGCAGAAGTTGAACAAATAACACTTGCGTTTGAAAAAGTAGAAAGAAAAAAAGAGAAAATATTGTAAATTATAATAGAAATGGAAGGAAGAGAATGGTTGCAACCATCATCATAGTCATATTTGTCTTGAATAGGATTAGTAACAAGAATTTGTTACATGTAAATTCACCTATTATATTTAATTTTTTAAAATTATTTTTAATAACTTCATCCAACATTATTTTTGTTGTCATCTCTATTCCTTACCTTTTATTTCAAGTAGTATTCTTCATTTAATTGTTCAATAGGTATCAGATGTATATGTTCCTTTCAATTCTCTCAAAACAAATTCAATACTGGATACACATGTCAACAGTTAAGAACGGTAGGATGCAACTCCCGTGAGGCCACAATTAGTGAACCCATGACCTTCTCTCACTCTGTACTAGACTCCCATGACACATGGCTAGGACCATAAATGGTCCATGTGTTTGCTTCCTCAAACAGCTTCATATATATATATATATTGCAATTCAACACTGTTTCAAGTTATGATATCACCACTGAAAGCAAAATGTCTGTTTGGCTCACCACCTTTCTTCTTCTTCTTTTGTTAGCCATGGCTAATCTTTTATCATGCAACCAACAACTTGAGGTGGTCCAAATGGCCCGAGCCGGGGTCTTGGAAGCTATGAACTGGGCTCGAGCCAATTCCAGCCTACATGGGCCGGACCATGGTTTGAGTCACCTTGGTGTGGCTCTAAGTGACTGTGTTGAGCTCTATGAGGAGACCAAGCCACGGCTTGCGCGCTTGCTCTCCGGTGAGAGCTACAGCAGAGAGGACGCACTAGCGTGGCTCAGCGGCGCGCTGGCAAGCCATAGGACTTGTTTGGATGGCTTGGAAGAAAAGGGGTGGTTGTCTGAGACTCACCATCAAGTGGCTCAAAACCTGACTGTGTTGCTTAGAAATGCTCTGGCCTTTTATGGGCCCAAAACAATTTGGAGGGCTAAAAGCAACGGTAAGTGTTTCGTTAGCCTCATGATCTTTTCAATGTGTGGTGTAACATATGGTCTAAATGTTGTACTGCCCAAAACTAGGCCACCAAGCCCAAGTATTGTTACTAAGAATGACATATGAGAATGATTTGCTAATATATATTTATACATGCATGTATAAATATATATTTTACCTGGCGAGGAAGAGGATGGGGTGAGTCGAACTTGTACTCAAATACTATTTAGAGAAGTGCCTCTACCAACTAGGCTACCCGGCTCACCCCGATTAGACTTGGTTGCACAACTTTAATTGAACCCATAATATATATATAAATGAGTCCCTTCGATAAGTCTATGAATAATGATAAGTTGTTCTATGGTTTGGCGAAAAATCCTAAAACACCCTGGGTACCGTCCCCCAAAAGACTCTCAACCGTGGAATGTGTTGGTGGGTCTCACCCGATGAATGATTCAATAGCCGCGAGACCCATGATTACAAGATTAATTAAATGAATTTTGGTACCAAACCTTGAATTTATAATTTTTTTACCTTCATCTCTCACCTTAATATTTGTATATTATCGCAACAAAAGGACAAAGTTCATAACAAGTGTCGGGTAGCATTACTCGACTAGATTTGGCTCTAAGTGTTATAATTCAATCAATCCAAACGGCAGAGTCATGCATGCAAACTTTACAGATGTGTACTTAGTGTTACGAGTCCATGTCTGAAACTGATTTTTATTTTTTACCCCATTTGTTGTTTACTTAGGAGGCCAAAAGAAACCAATATCTAGCCAAAATGAGGGTCTCTTAGCATCATGGAATGCAGCAACCTCCATTAATGCAGACTTTGTAGTGGCCAAAGATGGCTCTGGAAATTTCAGAACAATAAACGAGGCCGTCGCTGCACTTGCAAGAATGGCCGGTAGGAGGCGGGAGAGAGTGATTATCTATGTGAAATCTGGAGTTTACAATGAGAAAGTGAAGATCAGAAAAAACATGAAAAATGTAATGTTCGTAGGCGATGGCATGGACAAAACAATCGTCACTGGTAATCAAAGTGTCCAAGATGGTGCAAGCACTTTGAACTCTGCCACATTTGGTAAGATTATTAGTGATGGAAAGAAACGTTTCGTATAGTTGTGTATTGTTGTTATAGACATGATCTAAACAGACAAAAAAAACTGAAAAATATACTCTCCGCATGTAGAAGTAGACTGCATTATCATCCTTCTACTGCCACCATTACTTCTACTCCCACCTAATGGTGGCAAGAGGTTCGTGCATTGAATTAATTCAATTTTTTTTAAATGATACTTAACTACTTACCGGTGAGTAGCTTCACCCTACTCACCCCTTGTTTATTAAAGCTGATGTGGTATATATTTTGTTATTGGAATACACAAGTGGTGAGTTTGGTGAAGTTACTCACCGGTAAGTAGTTAAGCATTATCCTTTATAAAATGACAATATTTTGCACTTTTGTACCCTGTATTAATACAGGGAAGTTGTGTTCTGATCCTCCCAGCTCACTCCGGACGGTGATAGGAGGCTTGTGTACTGGATTAACGAAAAAATGGTTACACGGTCCTAAGACTAATATTGATCTCGGTCAATGGCTTACATGGTCCTAAGACTAATATTAGTCTCGGTCAATGGCTAGTTGACACACAAGCAAAAGCTAAATAAAGACAACTCATTTGTTTACATATCACCTAGTGATTGACCGGGACTACGTGGTCAAGACCATGTAATAATTTCTCCCAACTCTGTGATCTTATGTGTCCTGTGCTAATACAGAGCCAGAAAGGCTAAAATAATTGAAGTCTAATTTGTTAATTAGCACAATTTGGCTTTGGTGCAGGGGTGTCTGGTGATGGGTTTTGGGCAAGGGACATGACATTTGAGAACACGGGAGGACCACAGAAACACCAGGCAGTGGCATTGAGGGTGAGCTCAGACCTCTCGATTTTCTATCGCTGCAGCTTCAAAGGCTACCAAGACACACTGTATGTACACTCTCAGAGACAATTCTATCGCGATTGTCACATCTATGGCACTGTGGACTTCATATTTGGCGATGCCACCGCGGTCCTCCAAAACTGTGACATTTATGTGAGGAGGCCTCTGGATCACCAATCCAACATGATAACTGCGCAGGCAAGGGACGATCCAGATGAGACTACTGGGATTTCGATCCTGAATTCAATTATCGCACCGGCACCTGAGTTTGGTGCTGTTAAAGGCCGGTTCAAGAGTTACTTAGGCCGGCCATGGAGGAGGTACTCGAGGACAGTGTTTCTAAAGACGGACATGGATGGTTTGATTGATCCCAAGGGATGGACAGAATGGAGAGGCAATTTTGGTCTTTCAACGTTGTACTACGGAGAGTATATGAACTCCGGGAGTGGAGCTTCCACTGCAGGAAGAGTGAGATGGCCTGGTTTTCATGTGCTCAAAGATCCACATGAAGCTAGCCCTTTTACAGTGAGGAACTTCATCCAAGGCCATTTATGGATTCCAGTGTCTGGTGTGCCATTTTTGCCTGAAATTTAATCCTCTTCAACTATGCTGTTCACATCTTGTCTGGTATATGATTAGCTACTGTGTATTACAGAACAGGTTTTGTCTAGTATATGACAAAATTTAAAAGTTTAGTTTTTTACTTTAATTAAATTAAGCAAAATAATTACAAAATATCAAATGATCACTTATTGAATTAAATAATTCCATCACTCAAGAAAATTTAGAAAATAACTATTGTGAAAGGCCTTTCAATGTTGATACGAGATTGGTAATTACCACATAATCTTTGAAGCATTAGGCAAAAGAAAATTATTTTCATAGCATGGATGGAAGGAATAGTAATTAATTCTCAGACCTTGTTCATTTGATATGGACAGCTTCATCCCAACTCATCAAGTGTTCAAAGAATCAATTCTTTGGACAATTGGAGTATTTTGGGTGGCGGAATGATAGAATGGAAGGAATAAATTTTCATGGTTTGGTAAAAATTAAAGAGATAAGAAGAGAAATAATAATTGTATGGATGAAGTGCATCCGCATCAATATTGTGCCAACGAATTTACCTTCCCTTTCTCAATGAAAAATAAGGTGCATGCCTGCATGGGGACAATATGCTTATACATACACAATCAGAAACAAATGGACAAAAAAGTCTTCTACTTTAATTTCTTTTTCTGTTTTTCTTAAATAGTCTTCTTCTACTTTAAACATGAAATGATGAACACTTGAAGGGAGAACAAGGAGAATTAATTATATTATTAATAAAGTACGTGCATGGGACCATGGGATCATATGTTTATAAACAATCATGAAGTAACGGGCATGTCTCTATAATTTCAGATCCAACTTGTTATGTTATATAATTTTCATGCTGCTCGTCATACGACTTGTTATGGTATATAATTTTTATATTTGTTATGTTCACCATGTTGACCATCAATACAAAGCACATATTCTGTCAATGGTTAGCTATCCAAGATAAACTACTTTACATTTTGTCTAGATATATGATTGGCTGTCTAAGAGAAACTACTTACACAAGACAAATCGGCTGCACTTCACTCCACAATGCAACCAAATGTATGCATAGTATGCCTCAATGCTGCAGAAAACGATGAACATATATTTGTTCCATCAATGTGGGTAGACAAAAATCATATGGAATGTCTTGTAGCATGAGTGTGGGTTTTACACTAACCTTAATTCTTGGAAGGATTTCTTAATTCAGGCTTCATCGCATAAATTGAAAAGGAGCAAAGTTCGTGATTTGGAACCGGCTAGCTTTGAGTATCATGTGTGTGGAAGGTGTAGATACCTATTTCTTGTCAGTCGTGGAATAGTCAAAAGGGTCCGGGAATATATCACTAAACAGTATGAGAAATGCAGAAAGGTGGAAGAAGGGAGAGAAAACTAGTCCAGTGAGACGATTGGAGCAATGGTAGGGAAGAAGCTGCCGCCAGTTCTCTTATCCTTTGCCTTTTTGTCACTGCTCTCCTTTTATAGCCCTAGGTAACTTAGGTGATATATTGTTGGGCCTCCAGCTTGAAAATGGATCAGGGTCATGTCTCCTTTGGGTCATGTTGCCATAATCCCTATATTTCTGGAATTGCTGCCAAGCGTACCTTTCCTATTGAGTGACCCAAAAATGGCAAACCGTAAAGGCAATTGTATTATTCCAGTCTTTTGCTCTTATCCTCAAATTGGGTCTTGCCTTAGTGAGCAAGACATTACTAATTTTCCATCCTCCATTCCAAAATCTCTTCTATGTCCCATCGACCTTGAAGAGTCCCACCATACCCTTCATTGTTTTGGCATAAGGTTGAGACTGTCGCTCGAGGTTCGGATCGAGGTTTAAGGCCCGTCGATCGACAGTTCGTGGCAAAGTCGAATTGAGATTTAAGGCCCGTCGATCGACAGTTCGTGGCAAAGTCGGATCAAGGTTCAGGGAACGCCAATTGACAATGTGGCGAAGCCAAATTGAGGTTCAAGGCTCACCGATTGACAGTGGCGAAGTCGGATCAAGGTTCAAGGCCCGTCGATCGACAATTTGTGGCGAAGTCAGATTGAGGTTCAAGACCCGTTGATCGACAGTTTGTGATCGGGTCAGATCGAGGTTCAAGGCCCGTCGATCGACAATTGGTGACCAGGTCGGTTGAGGTTCAAGGTCCGTCGATCGACAGTTGGTGGTCCGGTCGGATCGAAGTTCAAGGCCCATCAATCAACTGTTGGTGGCCAGGTCGGATCGAGATTTAAGGCCCATCGATCAACTATTGATGGTCAGGTCAGATCGAGTTTTAAGGCTCATTGATCGACTGTTTAGTTAGGCCAGGGTTCAAGGCCCACTGGTCGATTATTGCTTTCTTGTTGAGGTGGATTGTCTCGTCGAAGTGTTGCACTTTTGTCTTCTTGCTCGAAGATGGTACTATGGTGGGGTTATCTTGACTTAACCTTTGGTGATGTTGCTCAACAACATCTACAAAAGGAAAGAAACAACAGAATCTTCCGGAACAAATCTTTACCTCCACAACAAATGATGAATGCGGTGATCAATGCAGTTCGATGGAAATTATTTTCTGTCAAGAAATGAAACTGCCCCTTTACCAAAGAAATTGCACTAGAATTTCTTTGAACTGACCTATACAAACCACTTAATTGCCTTCTCCTCAACCCTCCACATAAACCCTTTACCCCAACGTAATGTTTGTTTATGTTCTGTTTGCCCATATGTACTTTTGTTAGGCCATGGGGTATTAATGCCTCATGTTTCTTGTAATCATTTTTCTCTTTTATACTATACTATTTAATTATCAAAAAATAAATACAATAAAATACCTTTCCTTTTCTCTATGACACGTCATTTCTTTTATTATTAAAAAATAAAGTGGTTTGTTAAAGCTTGAGAGTGGAAATTTTAATCAAGTGGAATGGGGACAATATGTTTATACACAATCATAAACTAATGGACAAAAAAGTCTTCTACTTTTCTTTTTGAGTAATGTTTGGGTCCTGCCAGGACAAGAATTGTCCTCCAAGCTGACGTGGCTCAATAAGAATTTGCCACATCTCCCTTCTATTAAAAAATATAAAACATGGATCATACCTATTTAACCGACCCATTTTTGTTTCTCTCTCCTTGTTTCTCTCTCATCCCGCTTGTTTCCTTTTCTTTATCACAGATCAATCTCCCATCTCCCAATGTATTGCCTTCACCACATACGGAGGCTCACGCATAGAGATATCCATCAAAAGCTTATCCACAGCAGCTGTGGCTCAAAAACCCATCCCAATTGCCTTCTGTGCAATTTGAGTCACTCCAAGATAAATAAAGCTGAATATCTGTGATGCAATCAGAAGTCTGAGAGATCACAAAGTTAGTTGTGATAAATATAGAGATGATGAATATAAAAAAGGTGGTCAATTTTCGATCCAGTACTGCCCTGGTACTGTGATAACTCTTGAGAAGAATGGTTGTTTACATGAGATATCTTGGTTGGGAGCAAAGAAAAGATATGTTTACAGTAAAATTTCTATCATTGACATGAGTACAGAAAATAGGACAACCACTTTCTTCAAACATGTTTTTTCTTGAAAAAAGGCTCAAACAGAATCAAATGAACAATAGATTTTGTAACTTGGAATGATGCTTGGAATCATTACCAATATCTATATATATATATAAAAAGAAAGTCTTTGATTTTGGCACAAAAGTGAATCTAGAAAAGGAGATCATTGGATATATGGGTATTTGGGGTTGGACATTTCATTTATGTCAAGAATGAGTTGCTAAGAGGAGACGGTCTACTTTCTTCACACATGCTTTTTCTTGAAAAAAAAAAGGCTCAAACAGAATCAAATGAACAATAGATTTTGTAACTTGGAATGATGCTTGGAATCATTCCCAATATTTTAGAATTGAAGAAATCAGTCATGGAAACCGAAACAAAACCCTCACAAACGGCTGAATCGCATAGCCTTATAGTTACAGACAAAATCTTAAACATACTCTCTGGACTCCCCGTTCTAAATCTACTGCAATACAGATGTGTCTGCAAATCATGGCAATCTATGATCTCCGATCCCCAATTCATCAAAACCCACATCCACCAATCAACCCAATCCCTTGACACCCAAAGACTCAAAGAAAACAATTTTTTTATCATCTCCATGCTTTACTTTTCTGAGTCATGAGCAAACAAGGAGGAGTGAAACAAGGAGAGGGAGAAACGAAGGGTACGCACGCGGGATAAGAGAGAAACAAGGAGACAAACTAAAATGGGTCGGTTAAATGGGTATGACCCATGTTTTATATTTTTTAATAAAAAAAAATGTGGCAAATTCTTATTGGCCATGTCAATTTGGAGGACAATTCAATAAGGGCAGGACCCAAGCATTACTCTTTCTTTTTTACCATAAAAAGAAGTCATCTACTTTGAACATATGAAGTGATGTGTGTGGCAAATGGAGACTCTTTCAATGATGTTTTATTTCTTTTATTATTGAAAATTAAAGTGATGTTTATTAAGAGTGAAAAATAAAGTGCATGTGTTACACATGTTTATAAACAATCATGAAGCAATGGGCACAAGTTCTACTTGAAACATGAAATGTGAAGTGCATGTCTCTCTGTGTATATATCTTTCTCCCTCACTGCCTCTCTCTCTCTATATATATACATATATGGGGTACCCTAGCTAATCCATAACATATTATCAAGCATATATTCACGTACACTTGTATAATTCATTTTGAAAGCTAGCATCTTAGAGAGAGAGAGAAATGGCCACCACCAACAACAAGAAGACTAGTGTGATTGCCTTCACAGTGATGCTTGTGATCATGGCTTCTGCGATGGCCGATAGCGGCGCCAGGGAGTTGATCACTACAAATCAACCCGATAACTTCATCAAGGATTGCGTGGATCAATGCATGTCACAATGTACAAAACGCCGCTCCGAATGTAGTCGCAGGTGTTGGGCTATATGCATTATTCCCTTCACACGTAATGTGGGCACCCACAATATTCTTCAAGTAGCTCACCATTGATTAATGTTGCGTTGCTGTGTTTCATGCTTTAATCACATATCATATCAATGAAGTAAGGAATAAGAATGTATGTATGTGTGTGTGTATATATAATTATATATATATATATATGTATGTATGTGTGTGCGCGCCTGTGTTTGCTCGAGTCTATTTTCATTCCTTGTGTTGGTTCTCTTGCTCTACCCGTCATTGTTATATGTAATTGCTCGATGTTATATATATTGAGAGAGAAGGTGTCATGTTGTTGTGGATTCTCAATTGGGGTTCCCATTCAGGATGTTTGGAGGGTTACGCCTCTCTGTATTTGGTGGTATATCTGGCTCGAAAGAAATAGGAGATATTTTAAAGAAAAGGAGAAACCTTTTTCTATGCTTAAGTTCTCCATTGTTTTTACTTTTTTTGTTGGATTTCAGTGAGAGATTATCGTTCTATTAAGGAGATTATTTTCTTTTTAGCCACTTTGAAGGCTTGAGGCTTTTTTTTAGCCTTTTGTATATTTGGACTTCACTCCCCTTTTGAGGGCTTTCTATAAATTTTACTTATAAAAAAAAAATGTTGTTGTGAAAGTGTAAGATCCTCCCTTTTTCCAATAAATAAATATGTTTGATTGAGTGTTCACGTTTACTACAACTACTGCTGCTACTTACTCTACAAATATGTGTGTGTTACGTTTGGATGTATTTCTTTATAAATAATTATAATTTTATACTGTAATAAACTTGGTTGATCGCAACTGTTCACACTATATCTCTTAAAAATTAAAAATTATTAGATAGTGATTATTAAATACCCCAGTCAATCAAAACACTCAATTTCCTAATATTTTGATTGACTGAAAATTCTGTAATCGTTACTTCAGAGTATTATTATATTTCTCCTAAAAACTTGAATCTCAACCATCCACTAGCAAGTTAATTTATATATTTATTGCATATTTTCCATAATATACTGAATGCATCACAATCTCATCATCTGGCACTAAATATTTTTATTCAATGCACAGTAATATTAATTTGCACTAAATATTTTTATTCAATGCACAGTTAAATTAATTTGCAAGACTGATCGATCCACTTGTCCATCTTATATTATTGTCATGACTTTTTCCAAAAACAAATGATCCAAGAATTGAAGATAAATTCATTCAAATTATAACTCTGGAGTTAATAACACGAAACGTGTAACCAAGTGTGCGCTTGTTGTATATATATATAAAAACGACTTTAGGTTGACATATAGACACAAGGATGATAGACATTAGGAAGAAAATCCTTCTAGAATTTGGATTCCGCTGTTCTTTTGATTATAAAGTGGAGTGAATAGTAAAACACATGACCAAGAATTGTGACACTTTTTTCTTCAACTATGATGTTGTCTAGCATATGATATATATATATATATATATATTCTGCTGAACCTGAAAGTTTGTAGCATAGACTGGCCATTCTAGCCTCTTAATACCCACCCATCTTTTAATACAACAGTCGAGTCTCATTCAATCACATTTTAAGCCATGTCCAAATCACATCGTTAAATAACCAAATCAAGTTTACACATGGTAATAGTATACAAAATAATACAAACATTTTTAGCCCTTAGCACAACTCATCTGCTGCTCATTCTTCAGCATGCATTTACTCCACTTGGTCTCTTTCACCCAGAACCAAACAAAAAAAAAAAAAAGTTTGCACAACTCATCTGCTGCTCATTCTTCAGCATGCATTTACTCCACTTGGTCTCTTTCACCCAGAACCAAACAAAAAAAAAAAAAAGTTTTTTTTTTCTCCCAAGCTCCATGCTGGTCATCGATATAGATCACCCGGGCTCAGTCCATAAGTGGGACAATCATAACTTTATCTTCAACCAAATTAGGTCTCCAAATTTCCATTCCCTCCCCATTTCTTCTCGGAGATCAGAGGGAAAGAAAATTAACGCGTTATAATGTACAACAAAAATGATTAGTCAGAACCCAGATGACCCGACTAGTGAAGAATATAATGCATTTTCATCTGTGGCGATTGGCTTCTCAGAATCCTTGTTTGATTTTCCATTGCTATTTCTGAGAAGTTGCCCAGTTTCTAAACCAGCCACATCAAACAACTGTAATCTTCGTTGCTTTGCTTCTTCCACGTCATCTTCCCAGCAAGTTTCAGAAATAATTTCAAGTGCTTTCTCTACTTTATTCTCTGCCACAAGATTGTCATTTTGCAGGAGGACCAGGTATACTTGTTCAGCAGAAGCCTTTCTTATCTGTTTGAGAGAAATTATAAAGAATCAATAAGCAATGTTCCATTAATCTTGCATATTTTCCACAATTTGTCAAGTAATTTACTGCATTTGGTATAAAATTACTAATCTACAAGGCAAGCTCATTTGGAATAAAATTTACTTCGACCACTTACCTTGGGGTATCGATGGCCAAGGAAAGTCAGAAGATGAGAGAAGGCCTGGATGTTGATGGGCTCTGAAATTGAAGCAATATAACCAAGAATCGCGATTCCTGCATATAACTTGGAAAAATCCTTTGATGCCTTCAACTCAACAGTAAGAGAATCCAGAACACCAGCGCAAAAGACTGTAGTCTGGGCCTACAATTTAAGATTGAGAACCATATTAGAGAAGAAATATATAAAATTTCAGACCTTAGGTTATCACAAAGATCGTAAGGCATCGAGAACCATGCTTTTAAATGGCTACACAAAACTGAACAAAATGAAAACTGTTCTAAATTCAACAAAGCCTATTCCCTACTTATGGTTGGCTACAATGATCTTATTTTTTTGTTCCAATCTATCTAAATGTCATAGCCTCAATCAATTCTTAGGATTCATGTTCATAATGATCCTGACAAAAGTTTTAAGTTGGCTGCCAAGCTAACCTATAACCTTCCTCCTTTTTCCAGGCTTGGGGGCAGGTGTGTGAAGATAAGGCACCAACAGGGAAACAAGTATTAAAAAGTAGAAACTAACTCAAGATGCCCATATGATTTGGAGAAAGAATGCTAACACGGAAGAACAAAAGAATAAAAAGACGAGAGAGAAAGAGAGTTCAAAACAAAATTGGTACATCTTCTTGGGCCACTAAGACAAAACTAAGTCACTAACTGAAGCAGTGAGTTTTTTATTTTTTATTTATTTTTTTTTTCCTGAGTGCACTTTATTAACAACAAACAACCATTACAACAACGGGGAGAAATCAACAAACCCTCCACAAGCAACAAAGCTTTGGAAGAACCACTTCCAAACTACAACAGAACACCAAAAACCCCAAAAGAAAAAAAGAAGCAAAAGGGAACCTAAACCAAAAAACAGAGGAACAAGGCTGCCAACAGCAGAACATAGCCCTCACAACACAGCAAGCATTGGAAAGCCAGTGATTTGTTTGTCAAGCAATTAAAATATACAATAACCATAAAAAGATTAAAGTTATTAAATACTCATCATGAATTTAACAATTACTAACAAATACCCAAATACATTTTGACCTTGTGGCCCATCATACATTGTAAAGAGCTAACCTCAGGCTTTATTTGCAGAGACGGGAAGGAACAAAATAATTTAGGGGATAAGTATTTAGGAAAAAAAAAAAATTAGGGGATAAGCAAGTGTAAAGTCAATTGATTAAAACTCTATCAAGTACCATAGAAACAGGCACAGAAAGAACTAAAGTAGAAGTCGGCTGACCTCCATATTCAAGAAGACCTTTTTGCTGAAGAGAATCTCAATGGTCTGAAAGTAAAAGTAGATTCATCAATATTATAGAACTTCAAAAACAAGGCTAAGAGATCTTTAAAAAGGTGGATATTCTCCCATAACAAATGAGTATATACTGAGAGCTGTGAGTGTGTGATTGAAAACATTACACTACTTTTAGTAGTAGTCAGGAAAAAAAAAATGTACAGCTCATCAAACAAAAAATTGGCAATAATACTTATTTGAAGAAATTAGAATACAATTGGCAGGCAAGGAAATGCCATCAACATGAAGATGGACAAATATTCATTGCCATTTTACCATTGAAGTAAAGCTTTACTCATTCGAAATTTTAGAGACGGAATTTCTATATTGAAATACCTTCAAAGTGGGTATAATGACTCTATCACATCTTTTGTACTGTTGGAGAACCCAGAGGATGTCAGTGCATAAAATGAACTCCCTGGAGTTTCTTTCATTGTAAGCTTCCATTTCACTCTCTTGAAGATACTTCAACAGTGCACTGAGTGATGCCTTTCTTAAAAAGTCTTGTAATCCACCAATAGAAATAACTAATCCAGACACTACCGACTTGCTGTAACAACTAAGCTGAAGCAACTGAACAAAACGAGGATACAAGAAACTGGGAACCTGCAAGCAAATACATATAGGTCTTTATGGCATATAAACCAAATCACTCACCAACAAAATTAGGGAATTGATCTATATCTATACTTACCCCCCACTTTAAATCTGCTTCATTGGAAACAATTTCTTCTAGTTTTTCCCTATAAGGTATGAAGGGTACAAAGGTTGTTTTGTTGTACAAAATCCTTTGAAGAACATTTGCAGCAACTTCTCTTATTTTATCCATTTTTTCTACTGCTTGCTTAGCAATGCCTCCAACTAATCTGGTTGCAAGATTATCATCAAAACATGAATGCCTCTGGTTGGTATCAACCATGCCACTCTTATGCTGCTCTGAAACAGATTCGACTCCGTGTGGTTTACCCAGAAAGCCCATGGAATCTCTCTTGCAGAGGATATATGTACATCTCTCAAGGCCATACATAGCAGCCTCACGAACCCAGGAACCTACATCACCTCTGTTATCGACAGAGTAATCATCTAGAGCTTTAAATAAACTCTGCATTACTTCATTCTTGATCAAAAGAAACAGAGACAAGTCCTCCTCAGAATGATAATCAGAAGATTCTCTTGTCTCAGTTAATGTTTCACACACTGATACAAGTCCATTAACAGCATTTACCCGTGCTTCAGCATCCCTATCCGCAGGGTTATCCTGCACATGAAAAAGTGTCTAGTCATGTACCTCATTCATCCAATTCTCTCTTACAAGTGGCAAAATTCAGTAATAATTGAAATCAAGATTCTTCCATCAAGTATACCTCAATTTCACAAGAACTACAAAGCTTTAGTAGAACATCTTTCCATCTTTTGGCCAGAAATTCAAAGGGCAAAACACCTAATGCCACTGCTGATCCTCTTCTTGCTGCCACATTTGAATCAGTCAACTGTTCCAGGTACTTTGACGTGATATCCTTAGCACCTTTATCATTGGTGGAAACAAGGTATGCTGAAACAAATTGCTTCAAGGCTTTAACTGCAGCATTCTGTATATCATGGGGAAAACTAATTAATGAAATTAGGGCATTACAAAGGAAAAGCAAAAACAAGCAAAAGCGTAAATGAGTTAAAGACGTAAGACCTGTATATTAGAATTAGGATGTTTAAGATTTTCATTGAGGGTGTCCAGCAAACTCCTTTTTATCTTTTCTGGCAAACATACATGACCAAAAGAGATACATTCAATGAAGCGGGATACAGCCGAACGCATTATCTCTCCACCCTTCCCACGATACAACCGTGCTTTCTCAATTGCAGGAACTATACCAGCAACATTTTTCTGCTTATCTGTAGTAGAAAATTCAGAGAGGAACATTACTCTATTTATGCACAGTTAAAATTAGGGTTCAAGGAAAAGAGAAGAACACGGAGACACTGCTTGGAAATTCTGTATGAAGGAAAAAAAAACTCTGACCTCCTCACTCCAATATCTATTCTATATATATGCATACACAAGAGTACAAAAATAATAGAAAAACCAAAATACCCCTATGGCGTAAACTAATTACAAGTGTGCCCTAATATAGTTATTCTAACATGCACAAACAAGCTCAAAAGTAAATCGTATAACAAGTTGAGAAATACAAATGATAAAATTGTCTAGGCTACATAAAGTTATTTAACAGGAAAAACTAATAAATGAGGTTTTCCTTACTTTTCCTCGAGAATCTAACACTTTCCACTATACAACTAATGGGTACATCAATTCTTAATTATCCATTTACATTATGTTAGAGCATGCAAAGTATCCAACTTTTATTAGCACAGCAATCACACATTACAGCCTCAACATGTGAGGTGACTTGTGAAAACCTCAGAAAAAACAACAGTATGTTTATTTTAAAATATAAACACATCACAGGACATCCTCAAAGCACATAGTCATTGAGCACACCACACTTGTCCTGTTATGAGTACACTTGTCCTGTTGTCCCTTCCAATTTCTCCTTGTCACTCAACCAAGCAAAGGAAGTTAATAATTTTTTTACCATAAATTAATCCTACTATCTTCCTATTCAATTCCTTTCAATTCCCCATTTCTTTTCAATGGACCATTAATCTCTAATCACACAATAGAACAGCTTCAAGAGCATTTTCAATCAGCTAATAATAAATGCAAAAGAGCAGGTAAAATTACCAACCAGTGGAAAGAGCACAATCACACTGATATAGAGCGAAAACAAGTTCCCCAGTTGCTAATGTTGCACCATGACGCATGCACAAATCTGATGAGAGAGTGCAAGGAACTAATCTCTCCAGAACAGAATTGGCAAAATATTCAGGATCATACTTTACAAGAGCGGAAAGTGCGTTGCAAGCAAGTTCTCTCAAGCCTTTATCCTAAAGACGCCAACCATGAAATAGGTTACACATTGAACAGCCAATAATAATAATAATTAAAGTAACAGGGAAAAAGTATCAAAGTCTTATTAGAAAAAAAACAAGACCAGAAGCATAGATCTTTGATGCAGGTGTTACATGTAGTAATCATAAATGGTGGAATAGAAAAAAATAAAGTAGTTAATTGAAAATAAGAGTGACAAGTTGCAAAAATGAAACATGCCAAAAACTGACAAAAAATCTCTGTTTTATATGATGTTCTTCTGCCTGGTCATCTAGTGTTTCCATAATTTCAACTTAAGCCTTGGATAGCTAGTATTTGAAGTAGAAAGATGTGATGATATAGATTATACTGGAAGAAGAGGGAGGAATCTAAATGGGTTCACCATTTCACCCTTATTGTTCTTGATGTAGTCGTCTGGGAACTCTACATAAGCAATGATAGTTTGGCAATGGGAGTGACGTCGTTGTGTGTGTGTGAAAGAGACAGAGAGTCGTCCAAATTCCAGTTCTCTTGGACTGTAGCTCTTGCTTTAGTGACGTTTGTGTATTTCTTTCTTTCATTTTTCCCCTGATGCTTGTGTATTTCACTGGAAAAAATCATCTTCCTGTGCTATTTAAAATTTTAAAAAATCTGTTGTTCCAATTAAGTACTTTGTAGTATTTATCCCTATAATAAATTGTAACATGCAAGTAATCATATCACAAGAAGTTAGCATCATTCTGTATAATTGTTACGGTGACAGAAGTAACAGAAAGTAGATGTAGCATTCCAATTATCAATATTTTTCTTGACAAGTTGCTGGAGCATCCTTTTTGAGTAAATAAACATCTCTTTAGTTTTCACATGAAATCAACAAGTAAAACACAAAAAGGAAAACAGCCCAGTTGTAAGTTATGTCAGAGAAACTTGAGGGGGAAAAAAAACACTAGTGCAATATTAGAACCTACCCAGTGACAGATCTTGTTATATAGCAGTTCATCCACAAATGGGTAAAGATATCCATCATATTGAGCAATGTAGACAGCAACATGAAGATAAGAGTTTACACGCGAGGATAGAGAAAAGTAATCAGCTGCATTCACTATGTCAATGCCATGAAGATAATTCCCTTGTCTCCCAACATTCTCTTGGAAAGCAGCTGCGGCGGCTCTTCTACAGTTAACCTAAGCATTGCAAAAGCTTGGTGGGTAAAAGAAATCCTGTTGAAAATTTAATCATACAAAACAAATTAAACAAAGCAACAGTACAATGTTAGCACCTCACGGTCATAGCAGGCTACTGTTAAAAGATGTGGAGCAAGCTGTTCCAGTATGCTTTTCATATCTGTGTGAGAATATGCACGACCAAATGCCCAACAAACATAAGCAGCAGCATCCCGGACATGAGACCCAACGCTGTGAGGACCTCTACGAACATCATAATGTAGCGCCTGCCAAAAAGTTCTATCCATCATCAGTGCCCATGATGTAAACTTATATTGCAATGGGACAAGTGTTTCTGATGTTAAATTCTCAATGTTGTAGAATACATTAACTCCTATTGAAAACATTAATCAACAAACAACAAAGTGATCAAGGAAGGAGGAAAGGCACGTCAAAGTGTAGAATGAATGAGAGTTGCAATTTACACCAATATTCACCACTCAAAAGGAGAACAGTCAATCGGGAAGTAACATGGAAAAGCATGCCCCCAGGTAATTACAAAATAATAATAATAAACCCTAAATGAAAATTTGCTTTGGAGTTGCGATATGATGCATGTATGATATAACTAGCACAGAACACAATTAAAAATAGCAAGCAGTACAGGAGAGCAATACATCGATCCTGAAAGAAGTAGGGAAACATGGATCGTACGTCGTTGTCCCTTTAATTTGTTAACTTAGCCAAACCAATCAAAAATTTTGATTGATATACCATATAGCTTTTAAGCAAAGAAATGGTATAGACCATTTTATGCCAGACCTAGAATAATGTCATTGGGTAGTAAGGCGAAACATATGATATACATGGCTGCTAGAAATTTGTATAAAAAATTAAATGAAATTAATTGTTAGAAAAAGGCAGAGAGAGAAAATAAACACAAGTAAAATGAGTCTTTTTTGAGGAAAAATAAATCGTTGATTGATACAGCATATGCAGGTCTATAAAAGTGAAAAAGAAATATATAACTAAACAAAATGAATTAGCTTAAATTAAGGACTCTCTCATTCATGTATAACTTTCTCATTCATGTATCACTAAGCATGATAAAAAGAACAACCTTTACAACAACAGGTACAACTTTGGGAAGACTGACAGGTAAGAGCAATCCTCGACGTGCCAGTTCAGCTAATGCTAAGCAACCTCCATGCCATGAACCATCTCCCTAGAAAATAATGACCAGCCATCGTAACTTTAATCCAGGAAATTGGTACAGGAACATGTAATGAAGCACATGAATAAATGTCTGTATCACTGATTGTGGCATCCGCAGGTATGTGTAAGCCATAGATTATTAAGAATTACCATATTAACAACAAAATAGTGAAAAAAAAAAAAAAAGACTGAGAAAAACTGAAACAGCATACCTCACCAGGTGAAAACAGCTCAAGTACAGATGAAAGGACTTCATCTGAGAGGGCATATGTTAGACGTGAAGTTATACGGCCAATACCTTTTGCAGCAGACCAACGCACAACAGTATCCTGAAGTAACAAAAATCAGAACAGAAAATCAACAGAGAATATTATACACAAGCAAACTATACGAAGAGGACCCCAAGGGGTTGGTTCAAGTGGGTAAGTAACCATTAGGTCTAAGGTTCGACTCCTCTTGGGTGCAAACAATACCTTAGAGGTGTGCGCGCGCACGTGTGCGTGTGTGGGGGGGTGGGGGGAGAGAGTACCAAGTACCAATTTGGAAAATAAATAAATAAAACTAGGATAAAGCATCACATATCGACGCAAGTCATCTTTTTAGTAAGAAATCCACAAACACACATTAAGCAGTCCACTATGTTTCAGAAGGAATTTAAAAGTACACATCAAGGCTTTTAGGCTCCCTGACAAGTGTCTCAAAACCATAGGGTTGCTCAGTGACAGAGCTAGGAATTTACTCTAGAGGAGGACCCATTTAGCCTTAGTTGAGAAAGAGTAAAATCAGAGAGGGAGTTTGAGAGAAAGAAAGGAAAGGGAAGGGACTGATTCAGGATAAAGTTGTAGGGGAATTTTGAGGATAAAAAAGGTTTATGGAAGCAGCATCGTGATAATTACTGTAAACATGTATGCAAAACTAAAATAAATTTTTTCATTGGAGGCAGCTCCCTCCAATGAGCCCCATGTGGCTCCATTCCTGGGGTAGTGCTCAAGCTCAGAAAGAAAACTAAATGCATGGAAGGTTCTTTTGAATCCATATTCCCATCATATCCTAACATGTGTTGCAAGATCATAGAAGAGTTACATAGTAGGAAAATTTTCAGGGCTTCAGAGAACTATATGGTTGTCAAATCCATAATTTTAGTGGCAGATATTACTACATCTTTTTTGAAAAATCTTAAAAATTACTCATGCATAAGTATTCAGAAGTGCTTTAAATCTTTCAACAATTAAACAATTTTTAAAAGCTCTTTCCTGTGTATCGAAGTCATACCATCTCACCACATCACAAAAAATCACTCTTGTGCATGGTCACGAAATGAATGAGAAAATGTCATTCTTTCTTCAGTTCTAAAAATATATACATACATATATATATATATATATATATATATATATATATATATATATATATAAAGAGCCTAGAGGTCATACCAGCATCAATTTAATATCTTCCTGGGTAAAACATTACTTAGATATACATGAGAACACAGTCAGATCACGATAGAATCTCACCCTTTTGACATACCGTATCTCTTAAACCAGACAGCAACAACTCAATAATCTCTTCTACAATTTCCGGAACCTCCATATCTTCCTCTTGTAGGCAGCTTGAATTTTGTTCTGAACTGGAGGAGTCCACACCTGTATCACTATTGCATTGATCAATTCCGCAGGACACATTTACTGAAATATTCTGTCCAAGTGTGTTGTTTCTACCCTACACAGAAGGCAAATGAGTAAGGCAAAAAGTACAAGATAAAACTCTAGCAAGTTTAAGAATTGATAAACTTTCCAGATAGCATCAAGCTCCAGAAGCCTTGGTATAAGCGAGAAAGTAGAAATATACAAACAAACAAAATATAAACATTTCATCCCAGCACACAAGCAGGCACACAAAAACATGTAGGCAAACACACGTATAGGAGATAAAAAGAGATAAAATCTACAGAATACGGAGTTAATCATTCCAGTGGCTCCTCCAACACTTTTGTGATCATTACAAGGACAGAAGCTACTAAAACTCTAGGTATATGAATAGTGATAATCCCATATAGCTAAGGAGAAGCAAAAATGAAGACCAATAAAAAGGAAGAAGTTGGTTACAAATTCACCTCCAGTCAATGGAAAAGCTTTTGATATATATTTTAAGGATAGAGAAAATCGATTAAGATACGTTTACGTTTAACATCTGCAAAGAAGACCATTGACTGCACCAGTTAGAAAGATTGACATGGTCCACATGAGGGTAATACTAAGGGAAAGGGAAGACCAAAATTAACTTGAACAGAGTTAGGAAAGATAGATATTGTAACATGTCATTTGGCTGAGGCTACAGCATTAGATAAACCAGAATGAAAAAATGAAATTTATGTAGCTAACCCCAAGTAAAAATTTTAAAAAAAGAGGGGAAGCCTTGGGAAGTTTTTCACCAGAAGCGAGACAATCGGCAAAACTCGGAACCCATCCTCTATGTGGTTGTGACACCAGTCATCTATATAGATAATTAAAATAAGGGAATCTATTGAGTGATGGAAAAAGTAAGTACAAGAGGCCACACTGAAGCCATAGACTTGAAAGCATTGTTTTTCGCAAGGGCATCCACCTTCGAACTGGCACTCAGAAAGGTGAGATTTTCAAACAATCACCTGTGTGGTGACTGGCTCTAAAAGTGGTTCCATGATCTTCCAGGAGTCAACAAGCAGGAACAATTCCATTGATGAATGTAACCTTATTGGTCGCCACATTGGTTCAGTCTGTTATGAGATGCTCTCTGGGCAAATTAATACAGTTTTAGACTATTTGTTTGAAGATGATACAGATCATGGTTTTCTCTAAATCGGAAATATTCACCCAAGTTATTAGTTATTAAACTTTAAATTGCTGGTGGAAGGAGGGAAATTTTATTTTTTGAGGTGGTTTAAGTGCATCATCTTCTTGACCACCACCCCATGTCAAACACTTTACAACCCTCCTTTCTCCAAAAAAGTTAGCACGTTCTGGACCTTGCAATGATGTATACCCCATGGTCAAGGCTAGAGGACCTAAAGATAATCTCCTATGAAAAATCACGGTCTTGCCATCTTGAAATCTTAGGTAAGAGAAATGAAGAGTTTTTTATGACAAAATGAGCATGCCACATTTTGTGGCTCTTGCATGGTTTCATTCAAAGTGCCACCATTCTAGTAGGCAGCTTCATTGTGCCCTTGTGCTATATAAATCACACATGCCAATATTTAGATAAGTATCTTCAGAATGTAAAAATGAATTATATGAAGATCGTGCATGAACACTTCAATTGAAATGTCTCTTCCATAACACTATGACAAAATTGCTTAAAGAATGTTACATGTTATGGAGGAAAGATCAGATTAGAAAACTAATCATGCAACACATCTGTTCCACATTCTATAAAAACAAGACATGCTCAGCACTGAAAAAAAGTAGATAGAAAGAAAAACTTCTTAGCCAACAGTCTTATTCAACAAATTTCTTAAATATGCAGTTTTAGGGACTCCAACAATATGTTTATCTTCCTATTTATAAAGACAGTCAGCCAACACCTTAAAATTAAACTCAAATTTTTCAACAGTAGTGTAAAAAGTGGAGACTAGTTGCAAGGCAACTTGCAAAGTAACGACAAACGTTGAAACAGAGACTGTAAGAAAACAAAACGTATACCAAATATGTTAACTATAAAGCATACGTTTAATTATCTCATATTTTTGAGACAAGTAGAAACATGAGGCTTAGTTTTTTTCTGAAAGGTCATTAGCCCCTTAAGGTCAGGTGGCCATTTGATTGCCATTTGATTGGTGTTGAATTTGTCCGGCTTTGATTTGTTCTAGTCTATAGGTCATGTTATTTTTTTTTTTTTCCTTCCATCAAAAGGATCAGTCATCTTTCCTGATTGTGTTTGTGTTCTCTCTTGGTTTCAATAATTTTTTCTGCTTTCTTAACAGGAGAAGGGTGAAATTATATAAAATGACATATAAAAAAGAATTCAAAGACATTCAAATCATACAGTACTCATAATTCAGCAGTTCTAACCACGTAGCGCCAGGATGGTGAACGATGAGGGAGGCAAATAAGCCCAATCCGCTGAGTTAGTTTTACCAAATATTTACGAAGTAAGGAACTCCTAGCTGCCCTATTGGACTTGATCAAATCTGATGTATCATTCCAAACAACAGTAACCATATCAAGTAGCAATTTTCTGCTGCCAGCCTGCATCAGTAGTAAGACTGCAGGATGTTATCCACTATTTTCAGAAAAGAAAACAAAAAGAATACTCGTTAAGTCGCTTACAAAAATTTTTAACATTGGAGACGTAGTTTAGCTTACAAAACTTTTGAACAGTTGGCAGTGATTTGCGAAGAGCTTTAAATTAAAAAATTTCTTTTCATTTGATAGCGACATTTGAATACCTATTTTACCATCTTGTTAATCAAACGTATTAACTGAAACCACCATACATTGTAACATGATTATGATAAAATAAAGCCATTAGAAAAACAAAAGCAAACCTTGAAAATGGCAGCCATTGCTTCCACGGCACCAAGTAATCGAAAGTGATCCATGACATCATCTTCGACAGAAGATAGAACTTCATGTGTCCAGTCAAAGAAGCTAAAGAAGAAATAATAATACTCTATGTCAGCTCAAGCAGAAATAGAATAACTAATATGTTCAGCATAATAACACAAAGTTTGGCACTCTAAATCTATCTGCCTTGCAAGTGCTCGCACTTTCAATCATAGATTGGCACTTCAGCAAGGATCCACAGCCAGTCAGTGAATTACCTATCATGACAGCATGATTCTGTGTGCTTTCACTTATTCTTTAACATAGACAACACCTGATCAGCTTTTGAATACAGGTAAGATTTAGTGTGGAACACATAGCCTCCGTTGTGATTATTAACATGCTAGTCATAGTGTTACTACTTCATGCTAACATTCTTGCTTTATATATTACTTTAAAAATACTAAATAATTTTTCTAGTAGATAAAATATTTTCAACATAATTGAATAATGTACACCTATAGATATTAACAATATAGTTGTTCATATACCAGTATTCATATTTGCTTCTGCAGTAATACTGATAGTATAGCAGCAAGTATATTTAGGTTACATAAGCACTCTGGAGACTCTTTGGTCAACAACCCCAAACTCACTCCACTTGCATTGATCACTTAAGAGTTAGACCAACCTTATAAAGAGTCACAATACATAATGCCATAATATTTCATTGTGTTGTAAATACCAGAAAATGCCTTCATTTTATGAGAAAAACCTGATAAAAGCCTTCAACATATCTGGGCGTGTTAAAAGCCTTGAGAGCAGCAATCCAGCTATGGTGCGCATTGGACCAGCACTTGAAAGGTAATCCTTAGAGAATCCTAATATTCTCAGTACCAAAGGAGGCGGCTCATCTCCACCGAGGTAATTACTATTAGCAATACTTGTATCCACAGAGGAGATATCAAAAGGAACCAGCACAAGGATGGAAAGCCACAAAAGCATCACACACTGTGCCTCCATCTCTCCCGTACTTTCTTGCCGCAGTGATGTCACAGCAACTGTGTCATGGCATTTCTCCAAGAGAGATACTGCAAGTTCTAAGTCAGAAACCTGATGGGGAAAGAACTTAATAACAGCCTTGTATCCACAAACTGTAACCATAGAATAAATTATGATGCATAAGGGATTGATTATTTCAAGAACTTCATTGGAGGCTACCCCAAGTTCAATTGTTTTAGAGCGGACAATGAACATCAGAGGAGAAACTATGCTCTCCAGGTAAGGTTCTAGTAGTTGACCCTGTTCCTGGTACTTGTCCATCTGTATAATTGGGAAAAAAAAAAAAAAAGTCCAGATTCAATCAAATGGTTTCTTTCACAATAAAATATGTGAAAAACGGTAGCATATGGAGAAACCAGGCAAATGTTAAAGAAAAAAAGACCAAATAAAATTATAGTTACTAATAACTTAAAGCTGGTATAGGTTTAGGCTTAGCCATTCCTGGTTGCAGTGAGTGGCAAGTTAAATACACTATAATGGGGCATCGCCTCATCATGCTTTGTCCTTTTGTTGACAATAAAACTCCATTGCAAGCAAAGAAGATCGTCAAAGAGCAGCAGAGACTTTCTTTTTCGAAAGAGGAATAAATAAAAAAATAAAAAATAAGAAAAGCCAACTGCTTTATTTTGTGGCATTTCAAAGACTTCCTCAAAAGGAATCTGTGCCCATGTTTGCACTTCATAGCACCCAAAGGATTGAACAATACATCTCCCTAAGCAAGCCAATTGTTTCCTTTGCGGCATTTCAAAGCCTGTAAGGAATTCTTTGATCCAATCATTAACATTACAAAAAATATCATCCTCGAACCTCGAGTACAGTTAAAAACTTTCAATGGAGGTGCTTGAGATCAAGCACATCACAAGGGCTCTCACTTCTACCTTAATGGTATTTCCTTCACCATATTCTTTACAAAAAGGTAAAAATTCTTTTCTCTTTTTTTTTCTTTTTTTTTTTTTTTTGGTTTCGATAAGAAACCAAACTGATGCACATGCGATGTATACATGCAATTTCAGATTGTAGTGACATAAAAGGCAGATTACACAGTTGACATACAATTGAGGTTCCCAATAATCAAGTTCCTAAAAGCAGACTGCACTCAAGCCGAATATAAGGTATCCCAATTGTTGAGTTTGAACCTTCTTGCATTGAAAATTACCGGGTCAGTGGATTGTAAATTCAGAAGCAACAATCTCATTGAAAAAGACCCATGGAAATGGCCAAGTTGCTCATCAACAGAATATTTCGTTCTACAGAAGTTTCTTGCTTCCAGTTTCCTTCTCTCTATAGACTAACCCACTTCCTTACTAGGAAACATGTTCACTTTGATTCATTTCAGTATTGCCCTATAAACTAAAGAGATTCATAGGAGAAATGAAGTAATATCAACCTATAACACTAAAAAAATACAAGTAGTTCCAAATCAAGCACCAAACGAAACCCAATCCTAAAAATCTAATTCAAATTTATATACATATACACAAACATGTAAAAATGTCAGCGTAATCAAATTATTCATTTTAGCAAATATAGTAAAATTGAGAAGTGTATAGATTCAGAGAAGCAGAAGAGATGGATTACGATAGACCGGATCTTGTAAGCGGAAGAGAGATCAGAGACACGGCCACTGGAAACGATGCCGTCAAGGACAGACTTCACCAGTTTCCATTCTTGAAGGAAGCATGCTTGAAGAACTGTCTCCTTCGAATCGTGCTCGTAGTCTACTTCTTTCTCTACCATAGATTCATCCATCTTTGGGGTTTCTTCTTCCTTAGTCGCCATTGTAGAGAGAGAAAGTCTAGAGATGCGAATTTAGGGCACAAATACGTCTTCCCGCCACCGGTTGTTCGATTAATTGCCGGTGAAAAAGGCACCTATGTAACTCAGATTGTATGTGTACACTAGACAGTACAATGGAAGCTACTGTGCGTTGGTGGATCCGTGTGTACGGGTGAAAGTGCGGGCCCAGCAAAACCCTACCTAAACCCAGATTTTTGTGGTATCGGGTTGGCCCTATACCGATTCATTGTCAATCCAAACCCCGAACATTTCTTGTTGGCCGGGCTAACTGTGCCGACTCGATTTTCCCTTTCTATAGTCCGCAATATCAGTCGCGGTTGTTGTGTAATAAAATCGAACATAATTTGTATTTTTTTCTCTTTCAGTACATATATTTTGATTTTTGAACCATTTTTTGTTTTGTCCCTGAGTCTTAAATCAAAGAGAGAGACTCAAAACAGAAGAAAAAAGAATCCAAATTCAATCTCTAGGCGTGATAGAAAATAAAGAAAGAGGTGAGGCAAATCGATCAAGGCTACTTGATATTTCACCAAAACTTTTAACAATCTCATACAAAAAAACTCCAAAGCGACGACGATGAACAATAAAAATGAACCACAACTTCTATGAACGACAAAGTTTTTCCTTTCTTCTTTATTTCGTAATCACTACCACTTAACTTAAATTTGAGTCTAAGAAACACCGGGGATAGAGTTAAAGTCAAGTCTTTACAGGTTCATTCAATTGGCTAACCAAACTGACCATTAGGTTTGCTAAGTTAAAAAAGAAATGATAACTTTAGTTACTAAGAAAAAAGAAAGGAAATTAAATGATAGTTTTAATCTACTATCTATTTTTTATTGATTAATAAAAGGAAAAAAAAAAAAAAATTAGACAAATTTATAGGTTAAGTATGTAGTTCTTGAACATGACATCCACTGACAATTAAACATGCTTATACTAGTATTTGATTAGTTATTTCAAGTTTAAATCAATTAAAGATATCAGCACGAACTAGAATTGGATAAATTAAATCCACTTTTATCAGTGAAAAAAATAATTTTGGGTGGACCGAGTCCTCCAGCATGCATAGTTCATATTAGCAAACAAGAAGTGGATAAGATCAAAGAGGTCACCGGTTCGAATCCGGTTGGGCCTTTTTAAATGTTAAACTTTTAATTTCCAAAAAAAAAAAAAAACAAGAAGTGGATAATTAAATTCAATCCAGTCCCAAGTCCAAAACAGCTAAATGCGAGCATGACTAATATCAATTACGTGTAAATTGGTATGGGAATTAGTTCTAAGGATTGTTTTTGTAGATTCAAGTCAGTTTGGGAGTGAATAAGATCTCACAATCCTAGAGTCACATAGTTTCCCCTTTGTTGGAACGGTTGCAGACCAAGGGTCTTAAGTCTTAACCACTTGTTACATAATTTTTCATAAGCATCTCCCTACCTTGTATAATCCGAGGTTGAGAGGTTTGATAATTACTGCTATCTTTTTTTTTAGTGTAATTTTAATTTTGTCTTGAGGGTAAATTTGGTATTAGGAATATCACATTAGCCTATCATTCTCTTTCCTTCCAAAATCATCTTTCCCTTTTCTTTCATTCTAATCATTTATACCAAAAACAATTTTTTTATCACCCTCTGTTATCTTTCTTTTGTTTTCTTTTCGTCCCATTTCCATTGTACCAAATTGGGCCTCAGAGTTGGGTTTAATCGGAGGGAGGGTCATGGAATGGGCATCAGGACAAATTTGAAAGCCCGTGTGTGCAAGTAGTCCAATTGATAAGACAAAATTGTTTCTTTTTTTTTTTTTTAAATTAACAAAAAATTCATACACTTTATTCGTTATTATCGACTTTTATTATCCATTATACTACTAAATTAGAAGACTCTTTGGTCACAAAATTGTAAGCCAAAATTGTTGGTAACAAAATTGTAGTCATCAATAATTGAGTTTAAGAAGAAGGTAGTTGGGTGAAGGCAAGTCTGATTATAAAACTGTAAAATATTGACAAACTTTAGGTGGGATGTGATTGGCCGGCTGACAGTCTTCCGTCCATGGTGTGTATGTATATTGTATAAGATTTGGTTGCGTCATGTATAAATTGGATGAGATTTTGTTGCGTGAAGTGGCCCAGCGATGTGCATGATTATGTGTTCAAAATATAATAAATATGTGTGTGTGTATATGTCTATATATATATATATAGAGAGAGAGAATAATATTAAGTGAGAGAGCTTAAAGAAATAGAGATAGAGATAGAGACGGAGATACGGAGAACGAAAAGAGAGAGATGAAAAGCTTTCATTCATATATCTCAAACAAAGATGCATAGCCTTTTTATAGGCTATTTACACAAAGCTTCCCAAATAAGCCTTTATAATGCTTTTACCGTAGGCCTCTGCAATTTTCCCTTACAAACTTCATTGTGATCCCATGGATTACATAATTCATTGTGGACCTTACACACCCTTATATATATAACACTTTCCTTGAAGTCCACAATATTATATTAGGAATATGCCTCGTTAAAATCTTATTAAGGAAAATTCAGTGGACAAAACCCTAGTGAAGGAAAAAGAATACAATATTCTTGTGCATCAGAAAATGGTATTGCATAGAGAAAAAACTGTCTCATTAAAACCTTGCCAGGAAAATCCAGTGGGACAAAATCTGGACGAAGGAAAAAGAGTACGGCATGCCAATACCTCTTTAACTAATTGCTCCCCTTCATTAGTTTAACCCTGAAGATCCTTTAGTTAACGCATTCCAATGTTGTACACCAGCTCTTTAAATGTTGTAGTTGGAAGCGTTTTGTGAATAGATTTGCTAGATTTTCACATGAACGTATCTTCTGAATATCAATATCACCTATTTCCTAGAGTTCATGTGCATAAAAGAATTTGGTGAGATGTGCTTGATCCTGTCACTTTTAATATACCCTTCTTTCATCTGTGCAATGCATGCCGCATTATCTTCATATAATACTGTTGGGCTATCTTTTATTAATGAAAGACCACATGTTGTTCGAATATGTTGGATCATTGACCTCAACCAAATGCATTCCCTGGTTGCTTCATAAATTGCGAGTATCTCAGAATGATTTCAAGAAATGGCAATCATTGTCTGTTTCATAGATCTCCATGATATAGCTGTGCCGCCACAGGTAAACACATATCCTGTTTGTGAATAAGCCTTATGTGGGTCAGAGAGATAGCCGGCATCTGCATATCCAACTAATTGAGGACTTGATGCTTTTGAATAAAACAATCCCATATCAGTTGTGTCACGAAGATATTGCAATATGTGTTTGATTCCATTCCAATGTCTGTGGATTGGTGCAGAACTGTACCTTGCTAATAAATTGACTGGAAAAATTATGTCAGGTCTTGTGCAATTTGCAAGATACAAAAGAGCACCAATCGCACTGAGATAGGGCACTTCAGGACCAAGGAGTTCTTTATCATCCTCTCGAGGACGAAAATGATCTTTCTTGATGTCGAGTCATCGGACAACCATTAGAGAGCTCAATGGATATGCTTTATCCATATGAAAACGTCTCAGAATCTTTTCTGTATATGTTAATTGATGGATGAGAATATCGTTCGAAAAATGTTCAACTTGCAGCCTAAGGTAGAATTTTGTTTTGCCGAGATCTTTCATTTCGAATTCTTTCTTTAAATAAATGGCCGTCTTTTCGATCTCGTTCAATGTTCCCACAAGATTCAAATCATCAACATATACTGCAACAATAACAAAACCAGATTCTGATTTGTTAATAAAAATACATGGACAAATATGACTATTCACATACATTTCTTTGAGCAAGTAATCGTTAAGGCGATTATACCACATTTGTCCAGATTGCTTCAATCCATATAAGGATCGTTGTAATTTTATTGAGTACATATTACGTGGTTTTGTTTCAGGCATTTTAAATCCTTCTGGGATTTTTATATAAATATCACTATCTAGTGATCCATATAAATATGTTGTAACCACGTCCATTAGATGCATATGCAATCTTTCTATGACTGCCAAATGTATTATGAATCCAAAGGTAAGTGCATCAATTACAGGGGAGTATGTTTCCTCATAATCAATACCAGGTCTCTGTGAGAAACCTTGAGCTACTAGTTGAGCTTTGTATCTCACAATTTCATTTTTCTCATTACATTTTCGTATTTGTACCCAATAGGATTAACAACCTCAGGTGTCTGGACTACTGGTCCAAATACTTCACGTTTAGCTAATGAATTTAGTTCTGCTTGTATTGCTTCTTTCCATTTTGGCCAATTATTTATTCGTCGACATTCTTCGACTTTTTGAGGTTCCGAATCCTCATTATCAAGATCAAGAGCAACGAAATATAAGAATATGTTGTCGACAACAATTTCATTTCTATTCTATCTCATTTCATAATTTAATGAGATCTCATCATTTTCAAGTACCTTTGCCTCATCAAGGGCATGTGCCTCATCAAGTGCCACATCATCATCTGTTGCATTTGCCTCATCAATATTTATTATTTCATCATTTTTAGGTACCTGAGACTCATCAAGAGCATCTGCTTTATCAAAAACTATTATCTCAGATTGATTAATTATATCTGTTGCTCTTTTGTGGCCTCTTCAGGAGTGCCAGCTTTTCTTTGTGATTTCCTGTTACGAGGAACTATATCTTTTGCACCAACTGGTTTACCACGCTTCAGGCGTGTTTTAGATGCATTTGCTGCATTACTGACAGAAGGTCCCTCAGGGATAGCAATTCGTGCTGGCACATTTGCAGCTGGTATATGTGATTTTATAACTTTCTTTGTATCAGTAAATGCATCAAGTAATTGATTTGCAACATTTTGCAAGTGAATGGTCCTCTGAACTTCTCGTTCACATTGGTTTGTACGAGAATCAAAATGAGACAATTCCAGGGCATTCCAAGTAAGATCACGTTGCTGCTGTGCCTTTTCTCCCCCTGATGGTGGGAAAACAGTCTCATCAAAATGACAGTCAGCAAATCGTGCTTTAAAGATATCACCTGTCAGGAGTTCAAGATATCTAATAATAGATGGAGAATCAAAACCAACATAAATTCCAAGTCTACGTTGAGGACCCAT